CCTGAACTGGGCGCTGGCCCAGCTTAAGTAGTGCTGGGCCGGACCCAGTAGTCCACGGCCTGCAATCTGGGCCGTGTAGATCAAAGCCTGATCCGCGATCCAGATCGCAGGCTTCAGTCCTTGGCCAAAAAAACGGCCTGCCTGGGTCCCTACCGGACGTCCAGGCCCTGCCTAGGTCTGGCCGCTTTGCGACTGCATCAGGCCTGAACATCTGTCCAGGTCCAAAGTCTGTCCGAAAACGAGTAAAGGTCCAAACGTCTGGCCAAAAACGAGTAAAGGTCCGAACGTTTTAATGTATCAGGCCTGAACATCTGTCCAGGTCCAAAGTCTGTCCGAAAACGAGTAAAGGTCCAAACGTCTGGCCAAAAACGAGTAAAGGTCCAAACGCCTGGCCAAAACGAGTAAAGGTCCAAACGTTTTCCTGAAAATGAGTAACGGTCMAAACTGAATTARAGGCTCAGCCTCTGGGCCTGATTCCGGCCCTGGTCCTAACTGTGTACCTGGCCACAAAACGGACAACAGCACATTAGTAAAAACACATCAGTAAATAAATAAATAAGAAATCAACTTAAAGTTGAAGTCTTTCCGATGCAGGCCTAAGTAAAATGGCYGTAGGGCCTCCAGGTTGCGGTGACGCGACCTGGGGGCCCTTATCCAACCTCGGGTCCCGTGAGGGGCCCGTGTGGAGGCTCTCAGCATGTAACATCCCAGTAGGGCTTATCGAGGCCTTGAGCCTCGCAAGTCCAAATGTACCCTTTTAACCTAGGCCATTTTCCCAGACAGCCGGGCACCCAAGTTGTGCCCGGAACACGCCCGAGCGACCGGCCGGGCATGACCCCCGGGCAGGGACCCGGGCTGCCCCAGTGCCAAAAAAAACATGTTGTGTAGAAGTGCAATACAAACAACTTTTGGCTGCGGGTCACATCAGACTTCCTCACGGAACTGAAGATAACAAAAAAAATAACCGAATCACACCAAGGCACCCCCCTTTAAACCCCTTTCGCCCCTTTAAAAATAATTTATACCCCCCTTGCCCCCTCTTTAAAGCCAACACTCAAAAAAAGAAAAGAGCCCGGATTTGGGGTCTTCTCCGAGAGCACGGAGAACCGCCACCGCAAAACTGTTTCTATTTTTTTTCTATCTTTTTTACCCATGCCCAGGTATCCCGGGCGTCAGACCCCCCCAGGCATCATGCCCGGGTGACCGGCCGTCATGAAAATCTTCCTAGCTTTTAACCCCTTAGTCACTGTTTATATCCCCCCAAAGCCCCCTGGATGCCCATCACCAAAACCGGAGTTAAGACCAGATTCTGACTGCTCAGGCCAACCGCAGTCCTGGCCTGAAGTCCTTTTTTTGGGGGGGGGGATCCTTGCCTCTTCTTTGACCCATCTGGTTTTGCCGGGCAACCGCCACTCTGCCCAACTGGCCCGAGCACGCCGGGCGGGCGGCAGCCCAATCCAGAAAAGACTTCGACTTTGCAAAATGGCATTTCGGCTACCAGTCACCCTGTGCTTCTTTAGTACCCCCCTATGAGGCTGTGGTGTCCAGGGCGTGCGAAAGAGAGGGGCACTTTTACGAGTGAAATCCATTGTGGAGATATGAGCCCATTTCAGTTTTCTCTTTACCGACAGTAGAGGTTTCTTTTTTTTTTTTCTTCTTTTTTTCAACTGCAAGGAAAATGAGCAATAGCGAGATGACAAGATGCAGATTGCACAATCACATTGAAAGCCAGAAAGTATCACAGTGTCCAGAAAGCGGCATTGCACCAATATAACACCAATGGAGAATCGTAACACTGAAAACGGAATGTCAATGAGAGCTTGCTCTCGCCATCACCAACATAAGCATCCAGGCCCTTCTCCCTACTTGGCGCTCGGCGCCCAGCCTAGTCCCTACACGGCTACTGTCTGCCTACTAATTGACAATGCAACTGTTGACGTCAGCAGCCAACGAAGTACTTGAAGATGTCGACCAGTGCAGACCATCGCCAATACCAGGTATGTGCCCTCACATCATCATCATCATCATCCGGTCTTCTTACTCGACTTTCACCCACGTCTTCCCTCTGTACACCCGAAGACCACCTCTGCATCTTACTGTACATCCAAGCCCCAGCCAGCTATGGAAGCCAGGCTATGGCGATGCCCTCAGCAGTGCCCTTCCTCGTACACGACCGCACGTGCGCAGCACCTTGCCTTAGCGCAAGCAGCAGCCCGCAAGACTCCGCTCCAGCAGCACTTCCGCTAGCTTGCAAGTGCCCGAATGCTGTGCCTGGCCACGAGCTCTTTCCTATATGGAAGAGTTCTGGCCAGTCCTGAGGCTTGGCTGGGCTGGGCCTGCGTCCAGAAGCTTCCGGTAGGCCCCAGGTGGCTGGGCCTCTGCTGCAGCTGCTGGGCCTCGTTCAGTTAGGCCTCCCAACTGTCTGTGTATGTTGCTGTGAATCCTGCCCAGGGCCTGCATTTCAGAAAGGCCTGGAAGGCCGTGGAAATTCTTTGCAGCTCGAGTCCTGGGTTCCCTCAACCAACTGACGCGACACAACTGTCTGAACCCCACATACGAAATTGACAGCATTTGGGCCTCTCGTGATTGGTTAGGCCCGCCTTCACTTAGGGCAGGCACACTTGCATCAGGGGCCCCTTAGGCCTGCCGAGGAGCCACATCCTCACATTCCCTCCTCCTTTACTTCGATAGTCCCCTGAGAAGTCTTCTAATCTGCAGGCATCTTCCCCTTGAGTGCTTTTTCGTAGCCTGCAATCACTTGAGTGCTGTTTGCTCTTCTCTGGTAAACCACCGATCTTCACAGGGATCAGTATGGTGTCTGAATCTGCAACGGTACTGCATCATTGGCTTGGGAGGTCGGCCTCTACCGGGAGGTTTAGGCACTGCCATCACCCTATGCTCCACAATTTCGTCCACGTTGACTTCGCCATCCATGGTTGGGGGCAGCATTGACCGTCTGGACGGAAACTGTGCAGTCTCTGCGAAAGGTGCCAACTTTGAGGCATGAAAAACTGGGTGTGTGTGTAGGCGAGGTGGGCTGCGAATCACATAGGAGGGTCCATCCATCTGATCTCCAATTACGTCTAGGACCTCCCAGGGACCAAAGTACTGTGGCATTAGTTTTCTGGAGATTCCCATCTCCTGTCCCAGTTCAGATGATTTAACCCATACCTGTTCTGCTACCTAAAACTCAGATGGCCCTCTATGCTTGTTCTCGGATGCAACCATGGCATCCTGAGCTTTCTTTATGTGCTCTACAGCCTGTTGCAAACTCTATGCTGCCAGGTGCTGCAGATGATTGACCCTCATAGGCTTCCAACCAAGATGCAGTTGGTTGGGAGTCATGCCAGTAGTGCTATGCACAGCGTTGTTACACAGGCTGGCGACGAGAGGAAATTTCTCGTCCCAGTTGTCCTGATTTGGCGTGATGTAATGCCTTAGTAGGTGCTGCACCACTCGGTTCATCTGTTCCGCCTGACCATTTGACTCAGGGTGATTCCCTGACGTCATCTGCAGTCTGGTACCCATCTGCTGGGCAGTGTTTTGCCACAGTTCGCTTGTAAAGTGAACATCCCTGTCGCTGACAATGGACTTGGGTAAACCAAAGTCCCGTACTCAGTTATCCATAAACAACCTGATGACGTAGACAGTTTTTGCGGTTTCTGGCATAGCAATTAGTCTTGCATACTTGGAAACAGCAAGCCATTGACCATCGTAAACTCGTCAGAAGTCACTTCTAACTTACGGATGATCTCTAACATAACTGCGTCCTCTTGATAGACTTCCACCAAGGATCGAGTTATATCGTTAGATATACCAAACTCAGTTATTAGCGTGCCTAGATAATCTGCCCTTCGAGATACTGCATCAGCTACCTTGTGCAAGGAACATGAGTATGGACGAAGCACAGAAATCCAGAATGCAAAATCACACTGAAGTCCAAGTAKTCAAAGCCAAAGCAGATAGCACATGGAACCGAGTAACCATCCRATTGAGAATGATACAGAAGAATCGTGAGTCAATGTCCATGCCCAACAGGGCAACACCAACAGCATAACCCAAATGTAGCTCTCTCTTGTGAATGG